TCATCGTTCCCGGTTGCTTGCTTAAACATTTTATAGACTTGTTTGTTAGTCATTTCTCTCTCATTACCTTATCGCCCTTAACCCATCTCACCCACGGGGGACATGGATCAGTGCAGTGTCGCTCTTTTGGCCTCGCATCAAGTCATTCAGATCTTAGACGTGTCTTTATTAGACTTACTTGGCTTTTACTTGTATTCACTGTTGTATTTAACGAAGTAATGGGTGCCTCAGCTGGAGATAAAATTATTGTAACTTTCCCATTCAAATTAGGCTGCGTAGCTTGGTGGTTTAAGCAATTTTTGAAGCAATTTGGGCGCGCGTGCACAAAGCAGCGAAGCCGCGAGGATTGTCTCTCTTCCTAGCTCCTCGCGCCTTCGCCGCTCGTTTTCGCAGCTTCGCCGCTTTCTTAGTGCGCTTAAATTGCTTAAACCGCCAAGCTACGCAGGCCACATTCAAATCAGAGACAAGCTAGGTAATGACGTTTTCTTGTCACGTGACAGGAAGGTGGTGAGCTTGCGTTTATTACACTCTGCCTTCATCATCACAACTTAACAAGAAGAATTCTCTTTGGATCACGTGACAGGTTTGGTAATTCTAGTTCACAATAAACCATGCTCGTATTCTCGGTAGTGGACTGGAACTAGCTTGCAACTGAGGCTAATGCGGGAGTCTTTTCAAATACAAATGACATTCATCTCCAGTCTTTTTAATAATAAATATTCCTCCACATGAGCCTCCATTGCAAGCTAGTTCCAGTCAAATACCGAGAATACGAATATGGCGTATTTAATTGCCGTTATTTGTATTACCGCTGTTTCTTCGTCTTTGTNTGTCCTGTTATTGATTATGAATTTCGTCATAACATTGTCAAAGTAGCTCTGGCGATAGCCGAGTGGATCCGTAGACTACTTTTACAATATTATGACGAAATTGATTGTAAATAACAGGACAGACGCATTAAAACCTGACGTCAGTTTGTTTTTTACGATAACAAATTGTCCGCTCTCTCTCGTTGACGCGTCGCATAAATTATAAATTCATGTGTCTGTCCGCTTATTGACAATGAAAATTAGCCAATGAGCTCGCGAGAATTTCTGTAGTAAAAAATGTCATCGTGTAGTGAGGTAGAGATGATTGAGTATCATGTATTTTCGGGGCGGTAAATACATGTACAAGCAAAGCAGTAAATAAGCAAAGTTTACATTTAAGTCTAATTGCCCATCAAGCCGTAAAAAATTTCCGTAATTTTAAACGACTGGTTTAGCAGTATTTCTAGTCTCCTTGGATGAGAAGCTAGTCCATCGCAAGGTTCCTCCAATCACAATAACCCCAGCCTCAGAGCTCTAACTAGGACCACTCGATCAGGAGTCCAGCGTCCCCAGCTCCTTTTCTGGATAGTCTGCTGGGTAATAGCATGAGCTTTTGTAGTATTAGACATGGCCTAGATGATCGAATTGTACCTTATAGTTATAATGTATCGATAGTTTGTTCTTCGTTGAATGTGTTCACAGTGTCCTAGAGTGAAACTGAAGCCGACAATGCCTCTGGAAACAAAACAGTAGACTTCTCATATCATTTCTGTTTCATCCTCAGGTGATTTTTCTTCTGACGGCGAGAAACTGTTTATCGAATATAGTGATGAACGTGGAACTATAAGACTGGACTTTCTATGGGTGAGTTTTAACAAAACGATATAAATGATATAGCAGCACTCCTAACTCATTTCGTAAGCAAACCTTTTACGCGACGACTTGCAAACACCATGTCGAAAGCAAGTTAAGACTGGTGCGAATGAACGGAGGTGGGGACGGAAACTGGAGAGAGGCCTTTCTCCGGTCCCTCAGCCGACGAGCCAGCCAAGATTCGCTCGACCAAAATAGTGTTCATCTTAATCAAGCAAATTCTTATCAGGTTGACAATTTTTTTCTCCGCTTTCAATCCGTCAGTCTGAAGGTCAAATTATGAAGTCTCCTCACGATTTTATTGTCAGATGTAAGAGCTGGTTTCTACTTATACCCATTCGTACCTTTTTGGTACGCTTTGGCGGCATATCAGGCGAATTTGGTCGAGCCATGGTTCGACTTTTCGAAGTAGTCGAGCCAAAATTACTCATGGCGAGATTAGAGAAGCCGGCTATGTCTCCCAAGCGTACCAAGAAGGTATGATTAGTTATTTACCATACCCAATTACGGCCAAAGGACCACGTCCTTGACCTGATTCAAGAGAGGATGAAATAAGTTACTTCATCCTCTCTTGCCTGATATGGCTATTTTATCATGATATCACAGGATATCAGGACAGTTGACAGGGCTTCTGATTGGCTAATTGGGGTACCGTATCAAGATAGTATCTTACGAGTGATTTATTTATTTATTTATTTATTTATTTATTTATTTATTTATTTATTTATAGTATCTTACGAGTGATTTATTTATTTATTTATTTATTCTTTCAATTCTCTTCACTGATCTCTTTGGCCATGCGTTAATGTTGTAAGGACAAAAAAGATGTGGATGACGTCTGGAAAATTAAATAGTAAACTAAAGCCGTCATATTTAATTTTTTTTCTTTTTTTTTTTTCAGATCGAGGATGAAGAACAAACGCTTGTTACCAGTGTAGAGCTTCGAGTATTGAAGTCTTTTGTGAACTCGTGGTTTAGTACAGCATACTAAATAATGTGATGTCAGCCGCGGCCGCTCAGTCAACTCCAGTCTCCCCTCGTAACTAACTTTGGAATGGAAAGTTTGTTGACCGCGTGGCCTAGGGCGAGCGTGGTTCTTAAAATGAGTAGCGTTTTTTGGCGCCAACATGCTCTCGAGAAGACTAAAATAGAGCCTGGTAACTTTGTATTAGAAAGTTTGTTTTGTTCAAGTCGCCATCAGACACACTATCGTTAGAACAGTTATTTTAAATTATGGAAGACCACCACAGAACTGGTTTTAGAAATAAATTAGAAAGGATTGACAACAGTACACTCATTTTTATGAGAATACACAATAAAAAATACAGTGAAGCTTACGAAGTTTTAAGTCATAATGGCCTTTTTTTACGAGGCAAACCGTGTCGGACTTGGTGTAATGCGGAATTAGGGAGCTTAAGCAATGACGACGGCTACGCTGAAGACGACGCCTAGTAAAAACTGAATTTATGTTTTACCTTCANCAGTACACTCATTTTTATGAGAATACACAATAAAAAATACAGTGAAGCTTACAAAGTTTTAAGTCATAATGGCCTTTTTTTTACGAGGCAAACTGTGTCGGACTTGGTGTAATGCGGAATTAGGGAGCTTAAGCAATGACGACGGCTACGCTGAAGACGACGCCTAGTAAAAACTGAATTTATGTTTTACCTTCAAAGTTCGCACTCGCTCAGATCAGTTCAGTACGCCTATTGCTCTAAAACTATGTTCGGGTTAATTATGTTGTATGACAGCGTTCAATTCTTAATGGAAATACGAACAATTAGCCGCCGTCGTTGGCGTTCCCCAGACTTCGCAAAACTTGGCCATTTCACGTTGTTGTTTTGCAGAGGACGGCTAAGAA